AGAAAAAGCTCCTGCGTACCAAGTTTTCTCAAAGTGTTTCAGTCAGCGGGAAAAAGGATCGAATTTTCGTTCGATTCCCACACCTCCCCTGATCACGTCTCAGCCATGCTGAAAGACATTACACAGGAAAACGTTCTCATGGGGGAGCAATTACAGTGGTAATAACAACCACACATGCCTCCCCTAACTTCTTCAGGTTCACCAGGAAGCTGCAGAGGTCTGGCACTGTTATGCCTGTACCTCAGTTCACCTTGCACCCCCTTGCAGGTATGTGCTCTTGACCCCCTTAGGCCTTATGCTAATCTCCACTTTGTCAAATTTTTGTTCAAATTGAGTGTTTTTTCGCTTGGTTCTCATTAACATTACTTTAACTTCCCATTCCCAATGTTTACCGGCGGTTTTGGTTCGTTTTTCGCGATGAATTTCGCGTTTTTCGTTCGCGGATTTCGTTCGAGAGATACGCGAAACGATCGATTTTTACGCGAAACGCGGACGAAAATCAAAAAAGTAAACGGTTCGTTCGTTTGTAGGTCACGTGAGGAAGGTTTCCTGCGAGTTTCGTAGATTTTCACCGTTCGGTTCCCGAAATTTCAACGAAAAGGTGATTTCCCTTAGACCCTTTAACAAAATCGGATCAGATCTGATCCTAGTGCATCTTTTCCAATTTTTCAGCAAAAACACAAGTGATGGCTGGTTTTGCGGTAGCGGTGCTTCTGCTGGTGTTGCTAGTTCATCCGGACGCGTCATGCGGGAAATGTGCGGTCAAAGATGGCCGCCTACATTGCTCTGAAGCGTGTGATGCTGACGCGGTTCGAGCGCCCGAGTTCGAGGGAACGATCGTTCTGACCGGTCGGGTCCTTGACTTTGGTTGTCTGGCGTTCTTCGGCATCACGGTATGTCCAACAGTGGATGAAAATTGGATGATCCTTATCGAGTTTCTTCTTTAAATTTGTCCAGAAAGTGGAGTTGCTTCGTCCGACGAGATGCGAAGGGATTTTCAAGGCTTCGGCCGTGGATCCCGTCGAGTTATGTGTTGGATATGAGCAAACCACTGTTCCTACCACCGAGTTTGCCTCGATGTCAGCAGAGGTGACTCAGCTGTCGTCGGCTGCAACCTTGACGTCAGAGGAGACGACGGCGTCGGTGGGGGCGACATCTACAGCTTCGGCGGTCATGTCGACGCCTGCTACTCCATCCTCGACTACTGCAGATACTGGCAAGTCTCCGCTGCCGGTGTCTACAATAGAAATAAAAACTACAACTGTCCCCAGTAAGGGCTTTCTAAAAACGTTTTGTTGGTCGTAATTAATTATTTCTTTCGTTATATCAGCAACGGTGAAGCCTTCCA